GGTTCCAGATCTATTGCTAAAGAGAAAGAGGTTAGAAAAATTCCCATGGTTGCTGGGATAGAGTAGAGGCTTCAGGAAATAACACATGGAGCAATTTCCTGCCCCATTTTCCTCCCAGGCCTTTGCTTTTGAGAATAGAAACAAGGAGCTGAAGGAGAAGAACTACAATGGGAGCTTTCACACTAGAGTGAGAGGAGCAGGGCACTTCTCTGCTTCTGCAAAGAATCTGGCTTCCTATAGGGAGACTTTGAATGCTGGGTTTGGGAAGTATTTATCAGTACATGGGGCATCATCTCAACTTTCTTCCAGTTGAGAAACTTCACAACGCAGAGAAGCAGGTTAGCCTGAACAGTTACAGGATTGGGGAGTGGTAAGAGAGATTGTCACAAAATTTTCTGCCAGGATAGGATATGGAGAGAGCACGAAACAAACAAGTCATTTGCCGTATGAATGAAGAAGGAACACAAATACCTATAATTTACAATGTGAGCATTCATACAGCCTGGATACTAAACAGACCTGGCTGATGTTGTTCACAGCAAAGACCTGAGGATGTTCTTTAAGAATAGGAATAATTCTGTCAACATTTTATGAAGAGAGGGGTCATTTTGTCCTAATTCACAGAAAACCTGATCATATCTGTCTGCCCTGTATCATCAGTTCTTGTTGCTTTTGTCTGTCTTAATGGGTGATATGGAACATTCTTCTTCAAGCTAATTATATCAGTGGTAGAGAAATAAATAGGGTATTCTGACAGACAGGTCAAAATTTCCATTTAAGGACTATGTACCCATTTTATCTGTGGTAAGCACATGTATTTTATGGACTCTTTCATTTATTTGTTGGTAAGTCCATTAAATTCCTTTTATCTTCCACTACAACAAAACCTGACTTGATTAGTATGGCTCAATTTCACATTCATTCCTACTCTCTGGGCAACAGCTGGAACTATACCAAGCTCAGAATGATGCACAGAGCTTCTATACACCCTACAAAGTATCACTCATTTGATTTGCTGAACTAACAGTCAATAGAAGGGAAAGTACAATTTACAGTGTCTCTACAATACCCACCCTAGACAAATGAACTCCTGCAAGTCTGTTACTCTGACCTGACTTACAGGAAGACCAAAGAAAAAAGACTTAAATAAAGAGATCTTATATGCTTGCAAGGGAAGATTGACCCACTGGTCTAAACCCCTGAAAAACAGTCTAGGTGTGTGTAGGCAGACCTTAGTGCCAAGATTCTCCTGGCAGTCACTAAGCCTTGTGGGAAGACAGTAAATTTGTTCTGTCTGACCTTGTTTACGGTCCACTGGGGCTGTTTGCTGATGGGACAGTTTCTGTCAGTTTCTGCTCTGTCTACACTGCCCTGTGGCAAGATCTATTAAATATGTAGTCATAAGCTGTGAAGCAGCATGATTTTAGGCATAATGCTGTCCATTGCTTTTCTACCTTTCACCAGTAGGGAAAGGAGTTGATCCAATTCCAAAAGGCATAAAGAAATCAGATAATCCCAGGAACAACAGCTGATGGAATAAATTCTGCTACTCAGATGCCAGAAGTACTTTGGATTTTTCTTTCTTCATAGAATCACAGAATCATAGAAGCATAGAAGCATAAAATCATAGAATGGTATGAGTTGCAAGGGTTCATTAAAGACCACCCAATTCCAACCTCCTGCCATAGACCAGTAGACTGTGTTGCTCAGGGTTGCATCCAGCCTGACCCAGAGAAGCAATTTTAGCTTAAACCTTGTCCTTCACAGAACTCTCCCATGAGTGGGCACACCAGCTCTCTTCCTGAAGCTACATCATTAGTTCAGGCCTTGACTGTTGTTATTGTTCCAAGAAAATGGAAATTTAGCCAGAAGCAAGCCAATCCAATTCTGTTTCAGCAGATTCAGTAGAATAAAGCAAGCAGGATATATATATTTTTTCTCTTTACACAGACTCATTTCAAGCACAGAAAAATTAAGTTCTTAAGAATCAGTTGCTTCTGATAGTTCCTGGGAAGGATGTTTTTGATTGTGTATTCTGAGAACCAGGCATACTTATATGGCAGCTACAGGACATTCTGTGCGTCATGGTGCAACTCATCTTTGATATGAGTCTAAGGAGCTTTTGGAGGTATGAAGAAAATTCATAGTAGTGTTAATCCCTAATAAAGCATTGAAGTCTAGTCTCCAAAGCACAGCGGCATTGGAGTTCCCCAGTGGAAAAGAAAGGTGAGAGATGTATGGGCATTTGAAATGCAAATGTTTCTCTGAAAGCGAAATATTCACTACAGTGGGTGTAAATTCTGAAGAAGGAAAGGAGCATGAAGACCAACATCGACTATATAACTTTGAATACAGTGACACTTCTCCTAGCAGCCCCTGCTGTGTAGTACATCTCTATCCTTACCCACACGGAACTGCTTTGATTTGATTTAAACTACTTGTACATATACAGTGGTGATTACATCCATTCCTTGTAAACTGTTAACCAACAATGACTGATATGAAAATATCCGTTGTATTTTCTCAGTCTCAGGTTTTACAGAGAATCTATTTTTAAATAACAAAGTAATTGTGCTTTCCTCAGACTAAAAGTTTTAAAGAAAACAACGTAATTCATGTAGATGTCCTTGGCTATGATTAATATCCTGGTTGCAAAAACTCTGCTCAGCCCAGATGTTTATGCAAATGACTTTGTTGTCTTTTCGTGAAAGAGAATTTCCATAATGAAACTGTTTTCTGTTCAAAACTACTCCTACAGATGAATATATCAGCAGTGAATTAGCCTGATTTATACAGATGACTCTTATTTGTTTCTCTTATGTCTGATTGTATTCAGTTACCATTCCATAAGTCATCTGGCAACAAACTACTTATCATTTATTACTTTGTGGTTGGAAAACTTCTGTTAATATCAATATGATGCTCTACATGGAAGGTCTGAAGAGCACTGTGCTTTGCCTGACTTTTGCAGCTGTCTTGTTAAGGAAAAACTGCTACATTGTTTTCTCTGTCTCACGTGGGAAATGTGAACCAGGCCGAAGATGCTCTGCTGAAGGTAAATGTTTGAACAACACTGGAAAATGATGTTTCATTAAGTTGTGATAAGAACTTCGGTTGCAGCCAGGAAGAATCTCAGAGCAAGAGAAAGTGTCTGTGCATGGCTATGATCAAGGATTTAATGAAAAGTAGGTTTTAAAATGCATATGAATGGAAAAATCAGCATATTACCTGGACCTCCTTTATGTGTATATGTTGATATACTGTTCACACATATGCAAAGAAATCCTTTAGGCATCAAAAAAAGCCATGCCTCATCTCATGCATTCAAGAAACAGGTAAAGAAATGTACAATTTGAATTTATTTTCTGTTCCTTCCATTTTTCAGGTCTGAGTCCTATCCCTCAGGCAAATCTTAGGGAAGAAATTTCAATACATCTTGACTCCACCTGCCCTGATTGGAGATTATTGCCTTGTGCCAGTGCTGGACATAGTGCTGTGTGTCATAGCTTTGATATACTCAGAGTTGTAGCAGAGATGATTCAGAAGAGGCATCAAACAGAGGCGAATATTCTCCCATCCTTCTAGCTGCTTCTAGGTTGGTAGAATGTTGAAGATGATCCTGCAATCACATCAGAAAGGCCGTGTAGGCATAGTTTCAATATCAAAGTGGTTTGTGGTAGTATGTTAACATGAGCTGCTGATAGAAATGGGATTTTGCTAACCTGCCAGATCATTAACTGAGAAGATAAGGTCAAACACACAGTTTGTTCTTTTTCCTTTGTTGAAATAAAGGAGAGGGCAGATGCAATATCTCAGGAATCTATCAGAATCCTCAACATCCCTATAGAACCTATCTTCTTTTTGCTGAACTTGAGCAAAACTTTCTAAGTTTTAGTAAAAAAAAAAAATGGTTTAGAAAGTGGAAATTTCCTCATATAAAATCCAGGAAATATACAGTTTTTCAAGCACTCAAGGAAAGTGCTTCTGTAGTGATTGTTACATTAATAAAAGCTCATAACTAGACACAATTTCTTCAGGTTTTGTTTAATTCAAATCACAACACATTAATTGTTGTCATTCGTTCAGATTTAACACAATAATGATTATCCATAGTGGAACTGCTCTCATACTACTCACACAACTAAAATTAGTAGCTCACATCTTGCACAGTCAAGCAGCATATTTAAAAACAATTCCTTGGACATTTGTTTCCTCAGCAGCATGCTTGGAGACTTCTTGGAGAGAAATCTGTTTCCCAACTCCCAGGTTTATGCCTATATCATCATTTTAATGTTCATCATTTAGGAGAACCAGCTGTCAACAGGACAAATTAGTGCCATTCTAAGAAACTGTATAGGAGTGATAAGTACAGAAAACCTTGAGATTAACGTTACTGAGGATGTGTGCTCAGTTTTTTTAGCACATTGAAATTTTATTTAGATTTATTTTTCCTCTCTCCCTTTAATATTTTGACAAGGTAGAAAAGTAGAAAACAAAGGGAAATAAAGTATAGAGCTATAAAAGTAAAAACAAAACAAAAACAAACAAACAAACAACAACAACAACAACAAAACATGTACCAGATAACAGAAAAGAATAAATCTTGTCTATCTTGGGAAATTAAGAAGGAATTATATGCATTATTTTTTACACATCTAGTTTTTTGGCATAGTGAAACCTGGAAAATGAAGTCCTCTCACTGGACAGCTTAGCTACTTGCTAGGCAGCTTGGCATCACTGAAATGCTCTCTCTTAATCCCACAGTGATAATAAACCATAATAAATGTGTTTTTGCTACTGTAAGCAGCATACTCTTTTTTACTTTATATGTTTCTCGTTAGTATCAGTGTATGGGAACTACCGAGTCACGGCCTGAACCTCTGATTGATCACCTGAGGTGAGCCAAGAGCCAGCCAGAGGAGCACAGGTGAAAGCAATTCACCTGTGCTGCTGGAAGGGGTGGAGCCAGGCTGCACCCCTCCTAGACCTATTTAAGAGCTGGCTACCAGTAGGGAAGGATCTCCTCTGGAGATTGCCTCTATTGGTGTTTTGTTGTGAGCTCAGCATAAGGGTAAGCCTCCCATTTATTCTCTCTTGTTATCATAGTCTGCTTTGCCTAACTCTCTTGTTTATTTTGTGATTGTAACATCTTGATATCCATTGCTTATATAGTCAGAAAGAAGCTTGAAGCAGACACAGCTTTCAGAGTCTCTGGGGCTGAAAAATAATCTTTCTGATTATTGAGTGAAGAAAATAATAAAGAGTAACACACAACGTAGCAAGAGCTTTGATTCTCAGTAGAGACTATAGATACATGTATTTTTATTTTCAAGTTAAGATGTACTACAGTAATTTGTTGCAAGTGTGATGTTCTAGTAACGCTGGGAGACTGAGAGTATGGTATTGTCTGCTATATACCAAAGGATGTTAGCAAAGCGTTACAAGGGTTACAAGGCCAAACTGTTGGGTTTTAGGAAATACCAGAACTAATACTGCCTAGTCTTGATGTAATAATGATGGCAAATGGAATAGGCACACATTTTGCTATCTATAAAATGACAAGGCTGTAGAAATACTCTGAAGTCCTGAACTCTTGTCTCATTTCTGAGACTGGATGTACCAGTTACATAGTAAACATAGTAATGGTTACTATGCTTCTATTCTGTATCCATATTTGCCCATTCTTTCCTCTTCCCTGCCTTCTCCAACATTTACCAGGATGTACCAGGTGTGCTTTCCCACCGTGTTAGCTGCCACACATTGAAACATAGGGAACTTGAATGTGTTTTGGGAGGCATCACCATTATTGAGCACATAATCTATGTACAGTTGTGTCCAGTACCTATTCAAGTGCTCCTTTAAACAAGCCTGTGTTCCCAGGGTGGAACTATCAGTTGCCTACTGTTGATCTGAACAAATTAGCATTGATTTGCTGGGCAGCTGGCCAGGCACCAGCAGCTTTTCTGGAGTTACAGCTCATGTCTTTCACACAGCAGTGCTGATAAAGAAAGCTTTCCACCAAGCACCTTTTCTCTTCCACACTATTCTTTTCATGCTTTTTATGTGGGTTTTTTTTTGTTTTTTTTTTTGTTTTTTTTTTTTTTTGTGGGTTATTTGTAGTTTTGTTTTGTTTTCCTCTAAAAACCAGGAGGAAAACTCTTCCACATCACCACTTCACCGTTACCCAGTCACAGGCAATAGGTAAACAGCTGCACCTGCTAGAAATGTCTCATTAGAGTAGTAATGCCACATGTCTGTTGCTGTTACTCACTAAAGAATCTAAAGATTGTTACTAATTGCACACAATCTGGTCCCTTTAAGAAACCCCCTGTAGTAAATGTTATGTTAAAAAGGAGCACTGTAAGGTAGAAGGGTTTTACAGATCTAAAGGCAGCTTACCCTGTTTGGGAACATTGATAGAGAGATTGTATCCCTGTCAGCAGCCTTGCCCCATTTTTTTTTTTTTTTTTATCTCCCCAAGATTAGACCTGGGAGGGTGAAAGACAGGGAGGCTGTGCTCTTATGGAGCTGTGCTGAGGTCTTCTTGCCATTTGTACCATGTCTAGGCTCTAGGCAGTCTTCATGGGGATTCACCATCCTTGGATGCAGCCATGAGAGGCCCAGCTCTCTCAATAGACCCACACAGCAAGCATCTTACAAGAACCCACAAACATGGTAGCACCACAAGGTATCGTCCCTCTCATCAGAGCTACCATTTGACAATATCTTATGCTTGGATTGGACAAAATGTCCAAAACATCATTACTGCTTGCTGTGTATCTTCACTGACATTTTTTTATTTGAAGTCATTAATGATTAACGGAGGTGCTCTGGTGGATCTTGTTCAATGAAGAGAACACTGGAGCAGACAAAGTGAATGCAGCAGGGTCCTCTTGTAGCACTGTAAGTACTCTTTCAATATTTTCTTGGATCATTTGGTTATATCAGTTCAGGGGTTTGTGTTATTGCCTGGGAAGGAAGTGTTTTCACACACAAGTAATGTATACAAAACAATTTGTTATAAAAAGATTCAAAATATGTTAAGGACAAGCAAGAACTGCCTACTAGCACAGAAAATACTTCATCCAATAAAAAAATGTTTTGGAATCAGCAAAGATCCATATAGAGACTTTGCTGCTGCAGTGATTCAATATTTTATCTCTGAGAAAATGGCTTATCTTGTACTTTGTGCCTTAAACTGTATGATATATGTTTACATCACATTTTAGTTTAACACATTTCATTATCTATTTCTCTGAGTAAGAGAGAAAGACTACTAGAGCTGCAGTAACAGCACTTTGAGGTATAAAAATGGCTCCCATCTCTTTTCTCTGGAGAAAAGGTCATAAACTTTCTTTGTGTTTTTTGTGTTATTAGTGATTTAAAAACAACGACAAACAAAAAAAACCCACTTCTATATATATATATATCTATTTCACTGGTTATTATGATCAAAACTGTTCCTTTTGTGAGAGTGTGGTTATGCACAGTTCATCTGGAGATATATTTGTTCAGGGGTTTGCTGCATGAGGAATGTGAAACAAAAGGGAGGGATTTTTGAGAACAGACAGTTGTACTTTGAGAGCTTCATTTTAGTTGGCTGAAACATGCAAACATGAAGAAATTTACTTCCCTGTCATGTTTGGTGTATTTATTTCTTTTCCAGGAAGGGGTAAAAGGAAAATGAAACCCACCTTCTCCTTGTGTTTTCTGCTGGCTGGTTTATATTCTGTTGTCCAATGTCATCAGCATCCTCGCTACCTCAATAAACAGGACGATTCTAAAGGAGCACATTACCCAGGTAGCAGTTCTCACGGGGAAGGAGTTTTTCCAAATAAAAACAAAACTTTTGTCAAAGTAGTTCACAGCAATGCTGATTTTGCATTTTCATTTTACAAGCTGGTTGCATCCGAAGCAACTGATCAAAATATTTTCTTTTCACCCATAAGCATTTCTGCTTCCCTTGCAATGCTGGCACTGGGTGCCAAGTCAGCGACACTAACACAGATTCTGGAAGGGCTTGCCTTTAACCTGAAAAAGACTCAGGATCAAGAAATACATGAAGGTTTTTGCCAGCTCCTCCATATGCTGAACCGTTCAGATAGTGATCTTCATCTAAGCCTGGGCAATGCCCTTTTTATAGAAGAGACACTGAAACCACTACAGAAGTTCTTGGATGATGCCAAAAGCTTTTACCAGTCTGAAGTCCTTTCTGCTGACTTTAACAACTCCTCTGGTGCTGAGATCCAGATCAACAGTTATATTGAAGAAAAGACAAATAAGAAAATTGTTAAACTAGTAGAAAATCTTGATCCTCTCACAGCAATGGTTCTTGTTAACTATGTCTTCTTTAAAGGTAAGAATTACTGAAGAGTACAAAGATTGTAACTTGGACGCACTGCTTATTGCAGAGAATAAAAGAAAGAAACTGTAATTTGAGTATTTGTTTTGAGGAAAACATGTTCGGTATCTAAAAATTTTTCCAGTGAAATCATGTACATGTGTTAACAGTGAGGATGTCTGTGACCTTACTTGTTTGAGTAAGAGGTTGGATTGTTTTTAGAAAATACCTTTGTTGTACTTGGTAAATTATTTAATGTGAAGATAGAATCATGAATTAGTGGAAGATGTTGTTTGTAGTATCATTTCTCTGTAACTGTCTTCAGGCATGTAGGAAGTAATTAAACACCAAGGGCTGAAGTAATATGGAAAAAAAATGTTTGCTCTAATCAAAGGGAAAGAGTGGGACTAGATTCCATTTTATTCGTAATGAAAATTTGTCTTTTTATTCCATTGAATTATTATTTTTTTTTCTTTCTCATAAGCTCATTGGCAGAAACCCTTCAGTGATTCATACACAAAAAAAGAAGATTTTTTTGTGGATAAGAAAACATCTGTGAAAGTTGACATGATGTATCGGAAAGGTTACTACAGAAATTACTTTGATGAAGAGCTGTCCTGTTGGCTGGTTCAGATTCCTTACAATGGAAATGCTGCAGCATTGTTTGTTTTACCTGATGAAGGGAAGATGAAACAGGTGGAAGATGCTTTTTTGAAAAGAACTGTGGCGAAATGGGAAAAGCTCCTCCAAGATAGGTAAGAGATTTTTCCTAGTGTGAGAGATCACCGCATTATTTAGCAGTCAGCAAGATTGAGCTTGAAAAGCAGAACTATTTTACTGAACTCTGTTCACTTACAGTCTCCATGCAGGACTTCCCCTTTCTTAGCTCAAAAACAAAAAATACATCTGGATAGTGAACAAACGGGGCATTGATCTTTTTATCCTCAGCATTGTGGTGATGAAGTTAACAGAGGCTTGTTTTATATGGGCATTGTGAAACTTAAATGGAGTAGCTATTTCTGAGGTACTGGGTATTAGAGTGGTGAGGGCCTGGTGGGATCTGCAGTGTTGTGTGTGAAAGATGAATTTTATTAATTTACTAATACTGAAGCTGTTTCTGTGCTGGCACAGGTGCTGTTTCTGTGCTGTTTTATGTTCAAACAGCCTTAGAACAACAAGTCATGATCTTATAGGATGTCTACTGCCTAGTGAGGCTCTGTTGGTAGCAGAGTTTATATACAGTTATGTCTTCTCTGAATCCTTGAAACCCACTGTGGATATAGAGTTTAACATGGACTTATACTGCTCCAATCCTCTGCATTACATAACTATACTGGTAGAAAGGGCTATCTGAAACCTAACAGCAGACTTTTGTTATTTAAGAAAAAATATAAATGAATTGTCACTGAAGCGAAGCCACCCAGGAACATTACCTAGATGACAATTTGTCCCTTTTGATGTTATTTGTTTCAGAAAAATACACCTACATATTCCAAAACTTTCTATTTCTGGTACCTATGATGTGAAAAAGATAGTCAGAGAAGTGGGTATAATTGATCTATTCACTGAACAAGCTGATCTGTCAGGAATTACAGAGGATCCTGGACTGATGGTTTCAAAAGTAAGTCAGCACATGAAATACAGTGATCACAGAATTTTTCTATTTCTGGGAATCCATTACAAACAAAAAAATGGAAAGCTTATCCCAGTCTTTCTGAAGCAAGATTTAATCATAAGCATCTGCCACAAAGACAAACATACCTTTCCTAAAACTGAAGTCAAACACGCAGATAAGGGGTTACAAACACATGGATCAAGAACAAGGAGGACATACATATCATTAGATGTTCTTTTGGATACTAAACAAAATTATCTATAGGTAGCACATTAATTTTGGTAAAATACCCTCTAATAGAGGGCAAAAATGCAATTACTCTTGTCCTTCTAGTGCTCTAAAAAAAAGTTTTTTTTTTTTCAGCTGGATGATAGGGTAGATTTCTGATAACACATGAAGCTGCCAAATGTAAAACTTAGTCCAGGCTAAATTGCCAGCTTTCTTTACTTCCAGAACTTCTCATCATCAGTCATCTTGAGTGCTCTTTGGCCATCTGCTGCACAGAGATTTCTCTCTGCACACTCAGTTGATGGAGGCTTTCGGGGCTGATGTGATTGTTGATTGAGTGGGCAGGGAGGAGCTGGAGATGAACTTCCTCAGGTTGCTGCTGCCAGATCCCATCCCAGGCAGGTCTCCCTCTGCAGGTTGTTGTGCTTTATATCCTCACAGGTGATCCACAGAGCTGTGTTAAATGTTCATGAGAATGGCACTGAAGCAGCAGGAGTCACAGTGAAGGAGATTACATGGAGATCTGGTGATTTTTCTCGTCCTCCTCGAGTCAGATTCAACAGGCCCTTTCTCCTGATGATTTTGGATAAATATGCTCATACCATCCTCTTCATTGGGAAAATTGTAAATCCTCTGAAAAAATAACTGATTGCCCAGAGGACAGGTACTTCTGCACATGGCTACCTAAGATCCTGTGATCCAGTAATAACTGTGTACACTACTGTGTACTGGTGTCTTTCAACTGTTGTTATTATACACATTTCTAACCCCCAAAAAGCAAGAACTACTTTTTCTTGCCCAAATGACACAGATTTCCCCTCTGGTCTACAACTGTATGTAACTTGTATTGTTAACAAAGTATGAGTCGCTCTTTAGCTGTTCTGTAATAATGCCTTTCAGACGCTCTCCAGTATATGTGGTGATCTGTAGCCTCTTTCATGAATGATGTAGTTTTTACTTTACACCCACGGTGTGTGCAGGGGAGGCTGGGAGAAGAGAAATGGGGGGAAAAAAGACGGAAGGTGTATGTCCTGTCTATTTAATCCACTGACCTTTGATGTAAAATGCAGAGTGTTTTAATATTGAAGTAACTTTTCATTTTTTTTCTTTGTTGTTTTTGTTTGTTTCCTTTGTTGGTTATTTGGCTGGCTTGGTTTTTGTTTTTATTAGAATGAAGTTATTTTTACATCACCACAGACAACAACATTGGAATACACAATAATGTAAAAGGTTGACCATTACGATTGATTTAGCTGTTGTCTTCTCCTGTGGAAGTCCTATTCATGCAGGCAATTAAGTTGCTCTTCATTGAGCTGAGGTATTGATAATGTACTGAGATAAAATAAATGGTGGAATATTTCACGCAATAGCACCAGTTTCTTTTTTATGGGTTTGCTGTCACTTTCATTTCTCATTTCTCTTACTGATTCCAATTTCATTATCACACTTTCCAGATAGACAAGTCAGGCTGTGGTACAGAAATTTTTATCTTCTCACAGAAAACAGCAAAGCTTTTCTAGGGACTGTTAATCTGTTTTGAACTCAGAAAGCTATCATAAACATGCACATCAAATTCAGGTAATATTTGATAAATCAGACTAGATTTTAGCAGTGGATCGATACTATAGAATAAAAACATGGTTACTTGAAATTTGTACCTTTTCTTTCAAGGATTCATGAGTCTAGTGTGTTGCTAGTGTGTTATTTTATTAAAATATGCGAAGCTGTTGAAAGCAGTTAAATACTTGTTAGATCTTTCACTACAGAATATCTCAAATTGGTAAAAAATAAATAAATACAAATAGCAACTTTGCAGTCTTCAGTCTCTTAAAATGTGAAATAATATACAATGAAAATAATGACTATTTCTGAAACAATAATGTCCTGATTGTTTGGGGGATTTTGACTTGTCTCTGGTGTTAAATTACCACTATCAGTATTACTAGACTGTAGCTGTATGTCAGCCAAGTATTTCTTGATGTTCACACTCAAAACCCTCATCAAAATCACATAAACTAGTGACAAAACTTCCTTACTGACATCTGTTTTTGATCTATTCAGTATTTAGTAAAAGCTGCTGGCTAGAACACAGGGCATATATACAGACTTAATCTCAGTGTAATACTGCTAAACTGATTCTACAGAATATCATTTAAAAGTACTTGGCAAACTGTGGGGCTAATTCAGGACAGCATGCTGAAGTCCAGCTTTGCAGTGACAAATGACTATGTAAGCAAATATCATGAGACTTTGTTCTTCATTGTGGACCCCAGATCAATACTATCTGTTTGCTATCATGAAAAAATTTAAATGATATTTTGCCAATCAGATCTCCCTTTGAGAGATCTCTCTTTGATGCCTGACCTATTTGAAAGCAGATGAGGAATAATCAAGCATCATATGGGAATACGAGTCAAAGTTTGTGCTTCTATTTATGTTTGAAAAGATGCCGTGAGGTATTTTGTCAAATTCTAATACAGTAGGACCTTTTCCTACATTATTTTCCCAAAGAAAACATACTGTATAAGAGGAATACTTAAATAGAAATCACATATAGCTATGGTTATATATATATTTATTATTGAAGTATTAAATTCTCTCTCTCTCTCAAAAAAAAAAAGGCAATCATGAAATATGTATAACCTATTTTTTCTTTTCTCATAATCCTTAAAGCAATCTGTCCACATGCCCTTTATTGTCTTATTAAGATGCTGAGTTTAGCACCAGGCTTTCTACAAGCATTAGATCAGCTTTTGGAGAAAATGTACCAGGATATAATTACAGAAGAAAAGCTGACTTTGATCGTGCTTTATTCTTGGGGTACCTCGTCTCAAAAGTAAAATGAGACCAGGTGAAGATTAGTCCCTCTATCATTAACACTCTCTGTGTTTATTAAACTATCTCTGAATTAACCATGTAACCAATAAATATAATGAAATTGTTCTTCACGTAGAGTCACCTTCAAGTGGAAGTAAGGACCATATACAGGTCCTCTGTGGTAAAAATAAAGATAAAATTTGATAAAGTTCAGAAAATGTTTCTCACCAGAACTTCTCGCTCTTCTCAACATACTTGAACGCTAAGTAATGAATACAGAACAATTGCAAAGCTGTTATTCTTATGAGTGTCACAAGTTTAGTGTGCTCATATTTTGCTTAGGGAAGGGTTTCTTCTTTCAATCTGCTGTTGCTTTTCTTCTTGTCTGGATTTCTGTTGATTGGTTTGTTTGATAACTGTGAACTGCATGTCTGCATACCACAAAGCAGTCTTCTCTCTCTAGAGAAATCCTCCCTAGAGTGAATGATTGTATGGCTCTATTCTGAGTCATTCAATCATGCGCTCTAGAGAGAGAAGGCTACTCTGTTGATGTTAAAAGTCGTGGAAGAATTGCCAATCTAAAAAGCAAAAGCTAATGTATTTCTTGTCCTATAATAACTGGAAAAGATTTATCTACAAAAGTGAAACAAAGTAAAAAAGATAAATAAACAGCTCAAAAAAACCCAAAAACACCCCAAGATCAATCCATGTTGGAGATGCACTTAATCCTTAGGACATTGAAAAGAATTTGAAAAAAAATATATCCAACAGCAATTGTGAGTAGTGCTAAAGAACACAGAAGAAGAAATTGCAGCCAGGATTGTGTGAGGGGGCAGAGAAAGTAATAATATACTTGAAGGAAAACAAGGAAAATGGCATATTTCAAACAGCCAGCAGCCAGTGCCAATGCACAGGTCTTTGTTCCCAGAGCTGTGCGGTATCAGCTAAGAAGAACAGCGTGTAATATAGCCAACAGCCTTAAAGGTCATTAACTGAAAAGCAAATTGCATATTCTACTGGAAAACCTAGTGATGCTGTATACAATGTAATAACAAATAGGAACCCATATTTCAATAACAAGAAGGCAGAGGCTGCTTAAGGAGAAAAACAAAGCTGAAGTACACAGTTCTGATGCCAGTGTATTCTCATCAAAAAGGAGATATCATAGAATCACACCACAGCCAAATTGCCTTTTTATTTGTTTTCTAATACATGAGAACTAATTCACCAGATCTTGTTACTATTATCTTGATATTGAATAACTCGCTATGCTCCTCTGCTGTATGATACTGTTCTTTCTCCATGTCATCCTCAGGACACGATGACGAAGAAAAATATTAGCGAAGTTTATGAAGTTCTGGTGTGGACGGTCCCCATGATGCCTCAGTTATAATGAGAGGGGAGTCTCAGCTTTATACCAGCCTACTTGTCCTAAATGTCCACAACGTCCTCTTTGCCAGAAAAAAATTATCCCCACAAATTGGTTTGTTGCAGTCATATCCCAGCCCTATCACTCAGGGTTTTGTACTTCTCAAAATCAGGTATGATGTATTTCATTATGCATTCAGCATAACAGTAAATCCAACCGGTAACTAACATATCTCTGGGCAATACTACATAAATTTCTCAGCTCTCTGGTGATTTTTCACTGAAAAGTAAGTGGCAGTTAAGAGAACAAAACAAATGATGTAATTCACACTGACATGAAGTTAACGCAGCATTTCTGCTATTTATTAGATTCCTGGCAAATGCTCTGTCATTTGGCCAGGAAAAAATATCTGCGGGGCAAAATGAAAGGTCTGTGGCTGTTTGACTCCTCAAAATCTTTGGTAAAGAGTTGTATCTCTCTTCTTCAAATACAACATAGATTAGGCTGAGGTTATAATTTGTTTGCTTGTTTTTGTTTTGGTTTTTTTTTTTTAATCTATTATATATCATAATATTTCTTGATTAGGAAAATACACGTGAAGACGTTGCAGTATTGTGATAATTGTATTGTGACAATAAAAACATTAGTGAACACAGACAATCACTTGAAGTACTATTGTGTTTCACTCTATATTCTCGTTTGAAATATCCCTCCTGTGCATACTGAACTTCACCTTTTCCCAGGCCATGTCTGCAGCATTATTCCAGCCAAAGATTGCCAGGATGTCTGACTTTGAAGTTCAGTTTGATTTCCATGAACTGTTTCCAGATTATGGACTAAGAGACTGTCTGAACATCTCACTAGCTCTTCCTATTTCACTTTCCCAGGAATAGCATCATGCTTCTACTTCTAGAAATCTATGAATGTTATGAACCAAAAAATTTTTTATGTCAGAAACAATTTCAGTCATAAACCAGATCAATGTGGGAAAAAAGTAGGTTTACTGTCCATCAGAAATGGAGGGCTCCATAAGCAATGCATTCTTCAGTAGGGCTGCTGGCTTTCCATCACATACTTCATGTCACTCGTTCCATCTGCGTGGCTGGCTTTGACATTTCTTAAGAGATTTCTCCAATTAAAATGGATCTGAATGTGTCTGAATGTGTTTGGTATGAGCAATGTGAGAAATATTTCTCAAACTTGTTTTACAGTATCTTCAACAGCATGTAAACCACTAGATGCCTGGATTAAATAGGAGGAAAAAGGGAGAGCTTTCTCAGCTGCTGATTTACAGATTGTTGTTGCTTTATGCTGGATGGAGTGCAAGCAACACTAAAAAGTGGAGAAGAAGACACCTTGGTAAGGAGGTAGCTTGTGAGAAGATAACATCTGTGCTACAAAACATATTACATATGCTGTCTATGGAGCAGATTCCTATTTTCCCTTTAAAAAAGAGTGAGGTTGACAGCAGTGAAAAAGGGAGTCACCTCTCTACAGAACATGGACTAGGAAAAAGTCTGCTTCAGAATAAAGATTCAGGCCTGTCTGTTCACTTTCTAAGATTTCTATTTCTGTGTTATTTTTATGAGACTTTCTTTTTGCACTTCCTGTATTGCATACATAAGATTTTGGGTTTAAGTTCTTTTAAGTCCGATGAATTACAAATGAATCTCAGAGCTATTTCAATCTCAGATGACTCAGATGACTTTTTGTCCAGTTTTTAAATGGTGTAAGATGTTGAGGCTGCTTAGTGCAATAGTTCACTTCCTGGATTAAAAAGAAATGAAGAAAAAATGAGGACAAAATCATAATTGGGTAAACATATGTAATTTATAATACTTGATTCTTTTCTAAAAACATTCCTTTATGTAGCTGTGTTGCTGTACAAACTAAGACATAGATAAAAACTTTCATTTAATTCAGCATAACAAAATGAAGGAACAAACTAATTCAGAAGTAGTATAAAGGGTCTAATCTGCTCCATCTTTCCATTGTTTTCAGCAGCAAAGTCCACACACATATAATTTCTTTTTTACTGGCATTGATCTCCCAGGTAGTTCATCCCATGTTCCCCCAGAAATTCCAGATCTGTTTTCTTTCCAAAACACTCAAGTTGGATGTGACAGGTATGCTTGGATGAAGGTGGAATTTGGGTGGAGAAAGATATTGAAAGGTCAAGAGAAGTTTAAGGGGATAACAGCCTTTCTAAACACATCAGTATTCATGGAGTTTGGCAATACTGAACTAACCACTGAGGCCTAAAGTTTATATCTCATTTCTGTGGCTAAAACTGAGGAAGTATTTTTGGCATAGTGGATTTAAAGGTGTTCCAGTCTTTCTTTAGAAACTACTTCAAAAACATTAATTAAAACTATTTTGTCTCATTGTATACGTGCTGTCCTATAAGTTCAGTCATAAATCTGAAACAGCATCAATTAATCTCTGTTAATACTGATGGCATTACATGGATAGATGGATAATTTTCATTATGCTTTCTTACCAATTTGTAGTTTCTATTCCTCATTACATTTTAAATGGCAGCCAGCAAACAAGTCCACTCCCACATACTCACTAGTCACCTCGGTGACTAGCATAGCTCAAGAGGTGCAAGATACTTTGACATTTCCCTGGAAAGCAGCAATGTATTTGAAACCTGTCCTTATCTCAGGGTGACTTAAGATTTAAGACCACAGTAACTTCTCTTATACCTCAGAAATTAGACTTTGTTGTTGTTCACATGTTGATGCTTATGGCGGAAGCATCAAAAGTGAAATTTTCAAAATTGAAATTCTAGGCCAGGTTTTCTCTATTTCTGGATATGGGCAGTTTAACCTGCAGTCATAGCCAGTGAAGACCTCTATAAAGGGAAAAGTATTCAGCAGTCCTCACTAGTGCAACCTCTCTGTATTCTCCAGAGAAATTAAACAGATCTTCATGAAGGTCCTGCAAAACAGTAACAGGGTGAATCTTTTCTGCATGGATCTAATTTTGCCTTGAGAAGCCTAGCTCTGTGCTGGGCTCGGGGTTTTGGTACTGTGGCACAGTGATATTTGTTTGAGTTATTATGAGCTTGACAATAGAGATTGTAATTCCTTGGATGACTGAAACTTCACATAGCCAGACAACTAGAATTTTTTTTTATATAGGCATAGCCAATGTTTGGCTTTAAAATAGCCCTTATCAAAATGTAAAATGAAGAACATCTTAACCTTATTAACCCAGGCCTGTTTTTAAATGTGAGAGTTGGAGTAGGCAAAGTTTATGTGGGAAGACAACTTGAAAATGCAAGATTCAGTCAAGTAATAATTGAAAAACAAACTGTCAAGGAGTGATCATTATTTCATACCAACATGTGTATCATTAACCAGCTGCACTAGCAGATAGTATGCCAGCAGCAAACTGTCAAATTAGATAGGACCAATTAAACCTCATTACTTTGTGAGGCACGACTTCCTAAACAGCCACTGTGTAACTGTTTGCAGAAACTTGACAGTTCTTACAACTGAAGCTAAATGAAAACAGGAGACTTTAGTTCTCCTTAATATCAGTTACAGAAATCAACATGGTTTTCTTTTCAAGATGTATAAACATGATACATCTGATAAGAACAATTTGTGATCTGTGTTTATATTAGAACTGACAGAAAAAATGTGTTTCTTCAGTAAATGTGCTGAAGAGAAAAATGAAGCAAGTGACCACATTTTAGTGCATTCAGAATTTGAACCTATGCTTATATGCCTATCTATGATTTTAGGCTGCTGTTGTAAAAAAGTTTCTTTAAAGCCAATCATTGGTATTCAAACAGAAGGTTAAATTACAGATACCTGGGATTAATAAGACTTTTATTTAGACAAACTTCCCACCAGTGTGACTATAGTTTTCGAAGCTGAATTTTTAAAATTACACTCCTTAACGCACAGCAGGTCTCCCAGTTAAAAACGTGACTTGGCCCTCAGATATCAAGCAACATAGCATTTCTTTCAAGTGTCTGCCAAGTCAAAGTATGAAGTAAAGATGAAAATATTTTTGGATCCTAAACATAGATTTAGAGACTTTATTTCCTGTCATTCCAGTGTAACGGACTTCAGCCTCTACAACACCCATCTCCAACACTGTGGCCAACATAACAATAGAGGAGGCACTACATTTAGGGGAGCTCTGCTACGTAAATTTTGCTGTTTTTTTCTCAATCCCCACATGCTGTACATGGTCATGAAAGTTTTGGGGGCTTAATGAACAAGATGAGATTGTATCCTTTCTTTACTGAGATTTTAGAGCTGAAGTATTATCTTTGAAGTTTTGCAATGTCAAAAATTCTATGAAAGATGGCTCATCACTTTATAATAGAATTTATTTTCTCAGTGTCCTCTGTTTGGGAGTGCTTTTCAGATAGGTAACTATTATGAGAAAACTAAAGTAAATCTTGAGTACGTCTGAAAACTGAGAAATATGAAATGCAGGGCAATCAGGAACTGAACTCCCATTGTACAATGGTTGACTGATGCATGAATGCTAGTTCTGTCAGGACACAATAAGAATCATAGATCTTCCTTCTGGATAATTTGACAAATCCATTGGTAATCTGTAATTTCCATAGCAAGTTTTGGAAATGAATATATTTACCTTCAAATTATGCAAATTATTTTATTGAAGACTCCTGACTTACAGGTCTCAAAATCTATCTGCAATATAAATGAGAATGAAGGCTCTGCCAAACAGGATAACAGAGATAAGGCAAACATTTTGGAGAAAAGAAATGTAGGGAAGATTTTGCCAGGCTGAGCATGGTGTATCTTCTGTACGTCCTCTTTCCCTGCTGAGAGACTGCTGAATTAAGGGATGGAGCTTTCAGACCTTTTAGTCCTGTTCACAGAATCACAGCATGGCTCGGGTTGGAAGGGACCTCACAGATCATGAATCTCCAACCCCCCACCACTCTTTTGGAAAAATCTGACTGCAACCACGCATGCCTTTAGTATATACTCTAGGTATGTTCTTAAACCTAAAATCTCCTCCATAGCTTCCCTGTAGCTACCTGATACTTATATAGGATATAGCATATTAATTCCAGTACTATCAGGGTTAGGAACAAATCTTTTTGTGCTTCAGCAAAAATATGCTAACTTTGGGAAACAAGGAAAGTATCTATGTAAAGGAACTGGGTGTATATGTTGCTCTCACAAATGTCAAGTATATGGTAGGCCAAGTAGCATCACTGAGAAGGAGAGGTGTTCCCCATAGCTCTCTTACCGTGAACCTGGCTGTCAGAGCTCAGTGCTGGGCAGAACTCTACATATCCAAAGGTAGTTTCTATCTCAGGTAATATATAGAGCAAAGTAGCTGTATTTGGCACAAAATCTCATTTCCAATTAATACTTGCTTAGGCATTGCTTTATGACCCTTATGGAGCATAACACTCCTCTCAACCGACTGGTTTTGTCCCGTGGTCTTAGCTCTGATTGGAGTAGAGATGTGTTCACATGAATATGGCAGCCAAGAAAATTAGCTTCATCAGCATTTAGCTTTATCCTTTTAGATTATCTGTATTTGAGGCCATGTAATGTTTAACAGAGGAAAACAGCAGTGTGAGTAAAGCAACAAGAAAGAGCACAATCCATGCAAGTGCAGGAGCTTCTGAATGCAATGTAAGTACCCACATATCTTTACTTTAAAGACTTTGATGCAGCTATATGACATTTAACTAGTGAGTCATGAAGCACATCTACTTTCAAAGGTGAAACTTGGTTTCTAAGCACTCAAATGACAGCAGAATTTAATTTCCAAGAAATACTGAATAGCAAATTGTGGAGATACATTACAGCAGGTCTACAAGAATAACTCTGCTATGAATATTTATCCAAAACACCTCTTTTAAATCTAGAAGAAATCATCTTACTTAAGGAGAGGAAAAATATTCTGACTTTCCAACAGTCATTCTGTTTTGATGTCATTACTGAGGTTCTCTAAAGTTTCTGATGTGATAGCCAAAGCTCCTAGGTAAATGAGGTGTCTTATTTACACCAGTGTGGTGTAAATAATAAGTAGGATATATAAACTTAGGTTTGCTGAGAGGAGGGTTCCCTAGTCATACAAATTTTAGACAGACAGGATAGGCCATGCCTACTCTGGTGGCCTCACCATCTATCACTGTTGTGGGGTTGGAAAAATAGAGGAACCCATCGGGAAGACATGCAGTAGTTGAGTGATGGTTTAAAATAAAGCAATGTATTCTGATCTAATCAGATGTTAAAGCAGGAAAATGTTGTTAGTGCGCTTGTGATTACTCACTTTGTGTGTCAAAATGAATCAGGAATGAGAAAGATGATGTTTTGACTATTGTAAATCTTTATTGTTTTCCACTGACATAGCTCTGTCATTTGACGTAAACCTCTTACAATCACAAATATCATATCTCATATGAGAGCTCTTAGAGGTAAACACACAAGACGTCAGAGTTGTTTCTGATGTGTCACCACATCATAAAATGGATCTACAGTGAGATGAAAAAAAAGCAATAAACCTTTTAATTTACTCTCTCCCTCTGAATCATGTTTTCCTTTAATAATCACATGCTACTCTCTTGACAAGCACTCAGTAACAAGGGACTTGTGTAGCTGGAGGAAAGCAGAACTGAAGCGGGCAGTAATTGATATGAATTACATCTGAGATCAAAGCAGGAGTGTTTCAAAACTATGTCATAATAAAGGAGCAGGTCAGGAGATTAACAGTGTTAGTAACTTCTGTAGGCAGCAGCAGATATAAATAAAAGATGAGATGTTCACATGCCATTCTCCAGAGTCCAACACAATTTATTTTTGTCCACACAGTAGTTGAAAAGTATGATGAAGGCCATCCTCCTGCTATACTTGCTGTTGGCCATCCTTTACCCTGCAGTCCCCACCGTGAGACAGACTGACCATCACAATGAAGAGCCCAAGGTAACTCACCTCCATGAGCAGCATCCTCATGAGGAAGATTCTCTTGCTTTCTGCCAGCATATAATACCCAGCAACACAGACTTTGCCTTCAGGTTTTACAGGCAAGCAACTGTCCAAGCACCTGGCAAGAATATTTTCTTCTCCCCAGTCAGTGTCTCTGCTGCCTTTGCCCTGCTGGCCCTCGGCTCCAGAGCCACAACCCAGGTTCAGCTGCTGGAGGGGCTGGCCTTTAATCTCACCAACAACAGGGAGGAGGAGATACACCATGGCTTTCATCATCTCCTTCTCTTGCTGAACCGTCCTGGCAGCCAGGTGGAGCTGAGCATGGGAAATACCTTGTTTATGGACAAACACCTGAAGCCACTGACAGCATTTCTGAAGGACATAAAAAAACTGTACAAAGCAGAAATTATTTCTAGTAACATTCAGAATTCTACTGAGGCTAAAAAAGAGATCAATGATCATATAAAAAACAAAACCCATGGGAAGATAAATCAAATACTGAAAGACCTCAATCCAAACTCTTTAATGGTACTTGTTAACTATATTTATTTCAAAGGTAAGTTGAGTCATACAAATCTTACTGCAATATTCAAGTTTGCCTTGGACTGGAAAAAAATCCCAGACTATTTCTCAATTGTTTTTAAAAGAAGGACAGTGTTAAAACTATAAGAAACATTGCAAGTTCTCATGCTTTGAAACCTCTTAATACATCTATAGTTTTCTGGCGTATTTTAAGGTTTATAAGCACAAAAATTCACTTATTTGCAAACTTCAGGTTTTATGGACTTTCCAGAGCGCAGCAAATTCATGCATTTGTGGATTTTTCTATCAGACTTTTGTTTTATAGCAAAAATTATTCTGCCGTATGTATATATCCTATATGAAGAAACAAAATAAATTCCAAAGATTATAAAAAATGACAAAACTTTAATTTACCTACAATCCAGGCTTCTTAAATGGGTACATATGTATGGAGTTGGGCTCTAAGTATTCCACAGCCAGTCATCACATTGCATATATACACCAGCAGGTACTTCAGAATGTGCTGCTTTAGCAACGATGAACTTCATAAAGGTAATGTCCATTTGTAGCAGTGTGCAGGACATACATTGAATTATCCACCCAGGAAGTTGGTAATAGGTAGAAATAGAACAGGATTCAGTAAAATAGCTTTCACTTCAGGTACTCTATTAAATCTAGGTACCGTAGTCAGAAGGTACATTCCTTATGGTGGGACAGGAAAGAGTTCAAACTTATAAAGTAGTTAAAGTACTTCAGTATTTATATTCTACTACTTATTTTTCAATTTTATTTTGTTTCTGTTCAATATTTAAAAAACAAGCGCACTTAGTTCTGAAATGACAAACTATCATCTGTTTGTATTTGTTCAGCAAATGACTTAATACAAGTAGAATACCATTAAAAAGTCATTTGAATAAGGATGGAAGGTTAAAGGTTTAGAAGCTCCGTTCCACTTACTGTAATGAAGTTATTATCAAACCCAAAAGTTCAGGTTGTTCTTTCATTGATTTTTTTCCTTAGTGCTACCAGATGAGGAACAGATGAGAAAGAATAGAAGGAACTTAACATGCCACTTTTAAAAAGGCAGTCATCTGCTGTGGAATTTGCTTAACAAGCAAAGTGGTTGCAAATTAACTCACTGGATCCTGGCTAGGCACTTCTTTTTCTTCAAATTTTTCCTCTTCTTCAAATAAATTTAAGATAACATCATGAAGTTATCTCATTTGATTTATCTGACTTGCAACACCTTTCTGAAGTTTAATCTTGGATATTCGTTACTTGAACATATTAGAACAGTGATGATATGGACCTTGAATAAATTTTGAATTCCTCTAATCTTCAGTTATGAGCATAAATCTTTAGATATGGATGTATTTTGTGTAAATTAGACTAGATTATACTTATATATCCTCCTTAAAATAAGCATGCAACTGTGTTCTTTTTCTTTTACTTTTAAGCCTACTGGGAAAATCCTTTCAATATGAAGGGGACTCACACGGATTATTTCTATGTGAATGCAAAGACATTGGTTGAAGTGAAGATGATGGTTCGAGATAGCTTTTATGACATATATTCTGACAAGAAGCTGTCATGCAAGGTGGTGAGGATTCCTTACAAGGGAAATGTTTCAGCATTGTTCATTCTGCCCAATGAAGGAAAAATGAAATGGCTGGAGGATGGTCTGATGAAAGACACGCTGTCTAAATGGGAAAAATCACTTGAAAGACGGTAAATTCTAATTTGATGCTTTGCAGTAGTCAGAACCTGAGGTCTAAACACTGTAGTCAATTTTTACAGTTATAAGGTTTTGTTTTTCATTCGAGGTTTAAGTAATGGAACCGGCGTAAATGAACAGACTAAACAATTTGATTTGACATTCAGCAGCAATTTGAAGTAGCACTGCTTTGTCATGAGGGAAAAAATTTGTGAGCTGGGAAGCAGCTTCTCTTTCTGTACACTTTTTAGTTGATCTTCAGTATCTTCATTTTTTTTCTCAAATATAATATGTTAACAGTGGTACTACTGTGACATAGAAACTTGATCCCGTAGAGAGAGCGGGGTATGATTTAAGAAAAATAAATAAATCTTGAGGACTAGCAAATGAATGCAAATGTACCCACAAAGGTGCTAGCACTACCACTGCTTGTTGTCTACTCAAGGGGTAATTGTAAGACTGGAAACAAGCTCTATGTCTTTCTCATATTACATACATCATCCTGACCATTGTCTTCCCACCTTTTTGCTCTCATTTTTTCTATATTTGAAGACTAACATTTTAGCACAGAATTTCCAGCAAGCTGGGAGACTTCAAGTTGTACCTTGATCGTAATAACCACCATAAATCTCTTTTAAATTAATAGGAGGATGGAAGTGTATATTCCAAAAGTATCCATTTCTGGCACCTATGACTTAAAGAAGATATTCATGAATCTGGGTGTAATAGATGTGTTTTCTGACCAGGCTAATCTGTCTGGAATCACAGGAAAGTCTGATCTGAAGGTTTCAAGAGTAAGTTGGTCAACAGAAAAGTCTGTCGATTCATCAACTGCCTTAATTTAAGCTATGTTCCAGAATAATTCTTAGTCCTGAGAATGATTGATAACAGTGAATTTGAACATTTTAACTTTTAGAGCAACTTTAAATTCTTTCAGACTTATTCAGGATCTGAAAATAAAAATACTGCCTTCCTTACGGCAGCCTGAAGTTGTGGCAAAGGCTGGAGGCTTATATAAATTTTTCCAGGAATAAAATATTTTCAGCATGCAAGAGGAGACACCATCTTTTGGAGCTGCATTGCATGAGCATGTCTAGTATGAAAAGTGGCACCTTTTCTTTAATACATGCATGTGATTCTATAATTTTAAAGGACTTTCAAACTATTTCCATGGAAGGCACTGGCAAGTGCTAATCATATAAGAGGGACCAAGCTACAGGAAAGCCTCCTGTTTCCTAGGAAGAACAGATAATACAGAGATAAATTAACACTCTTATGGGCATTGCAAAAGCAGTAACTATAACATTATAATATCTTGGTTTAATGAAACAAATGTTGAAAATGCAAAAATAAATTTTTGTATGGATATTTATTTTCTACTGACAAAAGTTTAATCCATGAGGCATTAAATATACAGACAGAGCAACTCTGAAATTTTACTTTTTTTCCTTCTGAAATAGTAATTCCTGCTCTGAATTCAAGTGTTCTGCCCTGACACACATGGTGAGAAATACTGAGTGGAAAAAACTCATGGAGACAACATTGCTAGAACACCTACCATGGACTAAATTTCCTTCTTCTTAGTTTGTGACCTACCAGTCATTTCTTTGAAAGACAGGAGGTGAATTAACTTTGTGCCAGTTTTAGTCATTCCACTCCCATACTGTGTGTACAGTAATGCTTGCTGTGTTTCCTTGTAGGCTATTCACAAGGCGCTGCTGAACATTCACGAGAATGGCACAGAGGCTGCAGCAGTCACTGGCACAGAGTTTGCTCCTCATTCTGTTCCTCCTGTTATAAAGTTCAACCGTCCATTTTTGCTGTTGATTGTTGATCAGTACACTGAAAGTATCCTCTTCATAGGAAAAATTGTAAACCCACTGAAAAATGATTGATCAATGGCAAGTCTTATTGATTTGATTTGCATGTATGCATTAATAGTCTGATGTAATTAAAATTATATCAAATCTTTTAGCAATAATTTTATTTTTTCTAAAAATAATTAAGACAGGAATGTAGTCATTCTTAAAATCACCATCCTTGCTCTCTCCAGTAGAAAACAACTACCATGACTTATGAAGCAGTGTATACATCAGTCTTCTAATGACTAATACATGCTATCATTGAAAAATAAGGTAAGTATCCAGCTGAGAGAAGCAGTTTAAAACCTATTCAGTATGTAATGAATGAAAAAGCAGGCTGTTACTGAGTAGTGAATAGGAAACTAGGAAAATCCTGTTGTTTTCTCCAGCTGTCTGTAGTACTTACCAGGTCCTGGTCCTGGAGAGGTGATGTGGAAATTTAGAATGTAAAGTGGTCCACCTAGGGATATCTTAGGTTTTCTCTTCCACGTGGATCTTATTGATGGGAAAAGGTCATGTATTTGCATGAGAAAATGATTGCTTGGCACTCTGAGGATGTCTGTACAAATCTGACATCTCCTTATGCACCCTGATGGATCCAAGGTAGTGTCAAAATTCAGAGTCAAATCTTGGCACTTGTGAGGGGCTGGAGCACCAAGAAAAGAAACATCTGCTAACAAACACAGCCAGACTTTTGTGATATCAGCCTGACTCCATCTCTGTTCCACCCTTTGGATTCAGCAACAGCAACTATTTGAGAAGTGTTATAAATACAGTTATCTTTCTCAGTGTATTGTTCCTCATTGTCTTAAAGTTTTACTCTACTGATCATGAAGGCAATTTGAAATTAGAACAAGTTCCTCTGTGGAACCTGACCTTTGTAAGACAACTGCTACCCATCACACCAATCTTCGTAATCAGAGCATTTGACTTAGTTACAGGATATTCAAGAATATTCATGTTTGCAATCCTCCCTTGCATGAAGACAGAAAATCCTATGTCTCCAACATTCTAATTAAGCTGAAACTGCAAGAGAAGAGTTAGCATTAGATCTGGAGTGCTGTTAAGGATATTTTCCTGGAGGATAGAAATCCATGTCTGCTCCTCCCTGAGCGGAGGATGGCTTAATGTTGAGTTTGCCAAATGAATGAGAGTCCTGATGAACACTACAAAGAGTGCTGGTGAATGGATGGTGGATGAAGCAATGATAATCTGAAATATTGTTATGGGCTTCTAGGAAAAAGGAGACATAACTTCAAATTATAGGGTGGGAGGATAGTGATCATTTTCTTCCAGACACTAGAAGGACAAGTTTTTTGCCATGTTCTCAGTTAGAGCATTCATAACCTGTGGTGTGAATGCCTAGAGCTGCCAGCCTTGTGTTGTGTTCTTCAAGTTTACATTTAAGGCAGTGAACACTTGACAAGCATCTAATGGAAGCAGTGACTAAAACAGACACTCAAAAAATATTACTTGTCATGCCATATAGCTTTAAACCTCTGGTTCATCAAGAAATAATAGTTCAGAAAAGAAAGGTTATGAATATCTGGAAGAAATAAAATGGACACTGAGATTTATTACTATCCCAGAGTTTTTACCTATGTTTGTAAATAAAATGCTCCAAAATACCTACTCTAGTCCTGAGTTTGATTGCCTCAACACAGCTCATTTCCATGTTGCTTAACTCTGACCCTATAAGACACAAGGGCTGTTTATTGGAAATAACATTTGGTTTACATGAAATCTCCCAAAAATGCCCATGATATGTCTGGAAAGATTGCAGCTGGCATGAACAATACCTGCATCAGGAACTGTGTCAAATATGCAAGAAAATGAGTGGTTGTAGGTTGATGGTCAGGCCTGTGCTCCAGAATTACCTGATATAATGAAGCCAGATGACAAACAGGAATGCGTACCCTCCTCTGTTATTAAGCCCTATAAGCTCCTGCCCAGCATGTGATGTTTCTCTGAATGCTACTTAGTCTCTGGCCAAGCTGAAAGGCCTTCACCAGCTACTTGCCAAAAATGAGGTGGCCAGGGACTGTTTTTCCATCTTTGGAACAATCAGTTCGGAAAAGCTCTCTGAAACAAATGCAAGTCAAAAACTGTAAAACTACCATGCATTTGCTATAGATGTATCTTGATGCTTTCTTCTGACCAGTGCTTTGAGTCTGCTGCGACATTAAATGCAAGGATATTTTCAAAACGCTTCAAAAGCGGTGAAAAGGACCTCAAAAATCATCTAGTTTCAACCCATGGCAGGATCACTACCCACTAGACCAGGCTAGTCAGGGCCACATCCAGTCTGGCATTGTGCAGGGATGGAGGTACGATCACCTGAAGTGAAATTTTTGTTATGTGAAATAGAATCACACTCTGGTAATAAAATAACCTTATTTCCTTCTAGGATTCTACACAGAAGAAAATAATGGTGTTATTTGATCTTCTTTGTGTGACTTATGTCTAGCAAACTGAGTTCATGTGAAATTTTAGTTCTGAGATTCCTAATGACTTAGTAAAAGAGGGAGTGCACAAAGCAGAAGAGCCCTGCTTTCTATTCTTAGTTCTGTCACTAACTTTCTCCTTGGCCTTCAGCTTTCTTTTTCCTTCTGTCAGTCACGTTGTTTTGCAATTGAAGACAGCAACATTTTCCTTATCCAATAAGTCTGAATATTTGTAAGACATACAGAGTTTATAGTTATAGTGCCCTTCATATAAATAAATAAAAATACATAGATGAACTGATTTTTATTCTAGCTGCAGCAATTTTGCAATGATGCCAATCTCTTGATTTTAATTGAGATATATATGTCAACGGGGTTATGTATATGAGCTTTTGCAGCCAGATCTTAAGTGGTATATTTTTATAAGACAACAAGAAATGCCTACATGAAGAATTATCTCATGAAGTTCACATTTCTCTTGCTCTTCCTTATCATCTTGCTCGTGTTTTTCTTCCATACACAAAAATCTTCTATCTTGAAAAACTTAGAAGTATGACACTGGTACACCATAATCTGAAGACCAAGCAAGGAGTGGACTAACTTAATGATTGACCATAAAACTGCTTCTGTAAGGAGGAACCAAATGCATCGTGTAACTCAGCAGTTACTGGCAAACAGCATGAAAAGAGATAAATTATTCCTTAGTTCCTTGCACATAGACCATTATCAGGCCATTTGGAAAGCACTTTTTTCAGTCCTTTGTAAGACTTCCCTGGCTCCTGGAGCAGGAGAAGTTCCTCCATCCCAGCCACTGCTTACCTAGGAGCACTAGGGGCTTTGCCCATCTCTTTCCTGTAAAACTCCACACAGGATTCCCAGCTTAGTCTCTTGTTTCTTGGTGACATCCATTCTAGGTAGAGGGTTTTCAGTGCAGCCATTTGCAACAGTGCTCAGAAAAAAAAAAAAAGAAAAAAAGAAAAAAAGCTTTATTTTCCCTGGGATAGCATAAGTGCTGCAATCTAATAGGTATCCATGTGGGGTGATTCCCTCTTATTTTCTATTACATTTGACAGGAGATCATGTTTTCCAAGGTATCTAATTGTGATACATACTTAGCAAAGGACTGAGCACAGCTACCTAACTGCCATCATGGAGAAACTGAAACTCCATTTTCTTATTTTGATAACTTTTCAAGCCATGTTGTTATTCTTCTTCTCATTCACTATTTCAATAATGTCCAAAATACTCATCAACAACCTCTCAAAAAACTAACCACTACTTCTCTTGACAAGCAGTTAAGTAACAATTTAGCGATGACTTTGAAGAATGCTACGAGGGCTGCTCTGAAAGTAATTCCTCCTATTTTATTATGTTAGCCTGCTCTGAAAGTAATGCCTCCTATTTTATTATGCTAGCCCATGGTGCTAGAGGTAATACATGTTCTAAATATATGTTCTCAATAACATTCCATTACATGTTGTTGCCATGTGACAGATTGCAGTAGAGAGGCAAGCTGGCACAATGGCATCTTACATGGAAGTGCATATAAAGCAAAGGTATGTCACTGAATTCCTCCAGCTAGAAAAAGTACACCTACTGACATTCATCAACACTTGCTGAATGTTTCTGGAGTGGTGAGCACAGCGAGGCAGAGAGTGGTGCATTTCAGCAGTGGTGATAGCTGTGTGAAAGATAAGACACGTTTCAGGCATACATGCGCAGCTGTCACACCATGGAATGGACAGCATCTCAATCAGCTCGCTCACACAAATCAGTTCATGGTGGTGACTATTGCAAAAAATAGCATTTTGTATCTGAGAATTTGCTCTGTCAAACAGTGTTATTGAGCAATTTGTACTCATTTTTTTCCCATGGAAAGAAATAAAAGGCATTAGTTTTGGAGCAACTTACGTAGTTAGAGTATATTTACAATGTCCCCTGCAACATGCAGAGCAGTGTGGAGGTACTGAGCTGTTCCTGAGCAAGCTTGTTGCTGCTTCATGTAGCTGATTAGATGATATTCTTCTGTCAGGATATCCCATGCAGAGAGTCAGTAGAACAAACTAATCTATTTACAACCAGACATCACTCAGGGCCTATCTTAGATTTCCAGTTCAACTACTGTGTGGATTTCAAAAGCCCAAGGTAGTGTGCTATGCTACACTATCTTGCAAAGTTCTTTTGCCCACAGATTTGTTTAAATGCAAGAGTAGTATGAACCTTGCTCTTTACACTCTGAGCCACAGATGTTGGCATCATTTCATTTATATGTTGAAAAACAGGGTTACAATGTTTGATGTCTAGGAAAAAAAGTTTGCTTAACAATTTCTTTGCTTAACAAATAAATATTATTTGCTTTGATTAATATTTACCTGTGAACATTAACTTAATATTACTGAGCAAGACGGAGAATAGGGAAGTAGCACTGTGAATGAGAGGTCCAGCAGATTCTTTTTAAACTACACTGTAAGTACTATATTATACTTCCTTAGAAGAATTTGAATTCATATTTTCTATGATCTCTGCAATTTAATACATGGTATTTAATTATGAGATGATTTTATTTAGTATAAGTAGTTGGAAATTTATCTTCTGGAAGCATGATCTATACACTGAAAGCAGTCAGTGGTAGATACTATGTCAGAGTGACAGGGAGATGAGGTCCAAAGTGAATATTAGCTGCCATTGACACCAAGGTGAAACACCAAACCCTGCCTGTACTACTACTTCCAGAGGAGTAAATTCACTTGCAACTCAATGTCCTAGATACTCTAGGCTGATGCAGGACTAGTTCAGGAGCTGAGAGTAACATAACCGATACCACAAGCATCCTCAAACACTACAGAGAGTTAAGTGGCACTGGGGTTGATGCTAGTCTGTCTCAGACACAGATTTCTAGAGTTATATAAAGAGTATTTATAGGATCAAAGTGGATTAGTTTCATTTAGATTTTACTTTTTTTTTTTTTTAAACTATGGTTTAATCTGTCATTTTAGGCAAACTGAGCACAATTCCCACACTCAGCATTTACACATCTTAGATCTCAAGTGTTTCATAAAGGGCAGCCACATAAGAGGAAACCCGGATTTAATAACTGTCCATGAAATGTTTGATATAGGACCCAAACCTGGCTTCAGACACAGCCCAAGGCAAATCATGGAGCAGATTCACACACTGTATTATGCAGTTGCTCTGAACAGTATCATCACCTCTGTTTTCCTTCAGTACGCTATCTCCTTGTTTTCAAGATTTGTGATTGAGATAACTTATATGAGATGTTCTATGGAGAACATACTTCCCATATCTCCTGAAAAGAGAAGAGAAACTGCAGGGTTATATATAATTTGTTTGCATTAGTTTAAGGAAGAGGAAAGGTCATCCAATTACCCAAATACATACACAGCAAGGCTGCATTTGAGCTATTCAGGAAGCTACTGCTCTAGCTTTTCCTAAACTCTTGGGTGTTCGATTTTGCAGCCTTATGAATATTTTGAGTGCAATGAAGAGACATAATAAAGTTTCTTGCTTTATTCTCATTTTACTGAGACATGTAAGATAATATTTGAAATGACACAGTTCTTGAGTTCAGAGCTGCCGCACCAGAGGCAGAAAGACAGTTTAAATGGTGAAGCATCAGATGGATTCTCTTCTACTATAAGTGATGTTTCCTCTGTATTACTGCAGTGCATGAAAACCCAAGTCATCACAAGATCATGGCTTCTATACACTGCCAAAGTGCTTACTGAATGTATAGGAACAATATGTGAATTCAGTTGTGCACACAAATACCTTTAGAAATGCAATAATGCCATACTGGTCAGACACAAGGACAATTCCAGATCAGATACCTCACAAAAACCTACACAGAATCAACTCCTCCCTAGTGGTGTCATGTTAGTATCTTGGTTGGAAATAAATAGAACAGACCAGAAATGGACTAGCCATGAGACCCAATGGAAAGAAATTCTAAACACTGGCATATGAAAGTCAGTATTTCAAATACAAAATAAATTGTTTTTATGCAGGAAAGATAACATTTTCTACAAGATAATTTCTCCTTTCTCAACAGAATTCTTCAGAAGGAAAATGAAGTCTGCACTGTATTTGTGTTTGCTTCTTGTTGGACTTCAAGTCCAGGCTCTTCCTAAACCCAACCAGAGCAACAAACATAAACATAAGAAAGAGAAACCTCATTCCCTAGGAGACCATTCGCACGTGGAACGTGAAAACTCAGCTCACGTGAAGATAGCCCCCAGCAATGCTGAATTTGCATTTAGGTTTTATAAGCAGGTCACAGAAGAGGGAGGTAACAAGAACATTTTCTTCTCTCCCTTGAGCCTTTCTACTGCCTTTGCAATGCTCTCCCTGGGGGCCAGATCAAACACACTCAACCAGCTGCACAAATGCCTCACCTTCAACCTGACAGAGATGGAAGAGCAGGAGATCCATGAGGGCTTCCAGCATCTCCTCCAGCTGCTGAATGACCCTCACAGAGAGATTCAATTGAACATGGGCAATACTCTGTTCATAGATGAGAGATTGAAACTGCAAAAAAAATTTCTGGATGATGTCACAAATTTTTATTATTCGGAAGTTGTTTCTATGGATTTCCAAAATTCTGAACATGCTAGAGAGGAAATCAATAACTACATAAAAGCAAAGACCCATGGTAAATTTGTAGACTTACTGGACAGTCTTGATGAAGATGTTATGATGATTCTGACTAACTATGTTTACTTTAAAGGTGAGTTAAAAACGTTGGTTAAGGTTATAAAAATAGGCTCTAGAAGTCTGATCCAAACTCATGAATCAAAGCTTTTTCCCATGGTGAACCTACACTACCATCCAATTTATCTTTCTTCTTTTCAATTAATTTTCAATTAATATCTTTCTTCTTTTAAATGATATAAGGAAATACTTGAAAGTCAGGTATAAAGAATCATCTTTTATGAGTAAAAAATAAAAAGGAAAAACATAATAGAAGTACCAATCAATAGTATATCATCTCAAATTAGGCTCAGAGCTGAAAGTATTCAAAAAGGGCAAGCTTGGGAGCTTATGATCATTTTTTGAAAGGCACAGCTGTTTGGCTGTGCAGGATACAGTCAAAATAAAACATGAATAAGACATAATAAAGGAGTAAGTCCAGAGAACGCATAAGGTGAGTCTATAGAAGTTTCACCACTGACTTAGCAGATGAAGGCTCAGAGCTTCTCCTCCACCTGTATTTTCCTTGTGTGATTTTTATTCAGATGATTGAAATGATTCAAATCTCCTCTCTATTGCCAGGGTACAAGAATCTTTAAACTGAGATAGGCTTGTAATTGAATTTACCATTCAAATATACTATCCTGAGCATCAACTATTGTGTTATGCACATACTTGCCATTTTTTCAGCTTATTCAGCTCTATTCTCATTCTTTTGTCAAAAGGTTACTGGGAAGAACCTTTTGAAAGTTACGACACCAGAGATGATGACTTCTTTGTGGATGCAGAGCATTCTGTTAAGGTTAAAATGATGTTTAAAAATACATACTATAATATCCATAGGGATGAGAAGCTGTCTTGCTGGATAGTAGAAATACCATACACAGGAAATGCTGCTGCTCTTTTTGTTCTGCCTGATGAAGGGAGTATGAACCAGGTAGAAGATGCTCTGCTACAAGATACAGTGTCTAATTGGAGCCAATCACTTGAAGGAAGGTAATCCTTTGACTTCTTTTGACTGCCATTTTTTTTAAGCACTAAAAAGGCCATAAATACTCATGCAGGCAAGGTAAATCATAGGATGCCATAAAAAGCTGATAAATACAACTCTGAGGAACAAGTGCTGCACAGTTCCTTCACCTCAAAGGAAGTATCAGGATATTTTGTTCACTGGGGAACCTTCTCCTCAGCTTCTCCAGCAACAGCAGTGGGAATGCTGCAAACTGCGGGGATTCTGTGCTTGCAAACTCAGCCCTCGGGAGCACATCCAGACTAGGGAGGATCCAATTGAAAGAAAATGAAATTTCTTCTCCAATCTGGATGACCACTGATCAGTCTGTGGGTGGTAGGACTGGTACCTCAATTTCTCCTTCACTAAAATGGTATATATTCAGGCTTTAGAAAGCCAGGACTATGATTCACAGATGGCTGGGATAGATTCACATCACTTGTATCAGCTCTTGTATTGAAGGATCTTGCAATTATAAACTCTTTTTCTTTTCTTTTCTTTTTTTTTTTTCAAAAAAAAAAAAGAAGCGTCGAGCTATATCTTCCAAAATTGTCCATCTCTGGCTCCTATGATGTCAAGAGATTGTTTTTGAAAATGGGTGTGACGGACATGTTCAGTAACGATGCTGATTTCTCTGGAGTTGCAAAAAATACCCTCTTGAAAGTTTCCAGGGTAAGTATGTGAGCAGGGCTGGTGATCAAGAAATTTGCCTGCCCTCATTACATTATCTTAAAAAATAGGCTGATCCCATTTCTAGATTTCAACAATGGCTCACTGACAGCAGTACAAGAAGTTTAGGGGTTAGATGGCTGATGTTCATTTCAGTTAGCAAGAAATTGTTTCCTACATAATTATCCCACAGTCTCACTTTAAAACTCCTGACAATGAGAAAATAACTGGAAAGGATAATGGGAACAATTTCACAAAAGTCTTGTGTAAATAATTAATACTGGAAATAATCAAATTTATTACAGTAATTTGGGAATGATCATTCTTATTCCATAGAGCCTTTCTTACTGTATTAGCTGAGCACCTCAGAATTGGTTTGTCACTAATGTGTCAACAGAAAAAAAAATAAAATTGTGTATACCTAAATTGATGCAAAATGAAAACATTCCTCCTTGGTGTTAAATAATACAGAAAAGATCTTACTCAAAGAAACCACTGAACAATAAATGCTCTCCATGCAGCTCAATCTCTATAAGCAGCCAAGTTTGACTCTGACGGAGTGAAAAAGAAATCTTCCTTTTAACTCAGAGCAAACTTTTCTTGTCTTGAAAAGGCTGAACAAGAGAATTTTTTCTCACAAATTCTATTCATTTTGTGCTCTATCTTGAAAACTACTGTCTCTCAGTGTTAGAGCAAACCTGTTTGTCACTCGCTGCTTCTCACTGTTCTGTGCCTTGATATTTAATTTTTGTTTCCTTTCCAGGCAAT